TATTTTAATATGAAGACGACAAGGCATGCAGTGAACTAGTTTAACGTTAATCGAATAAGGCACCTGAAGATGGCACTTTTGTGCCGAAACATGTAGTGCGAGAGAGAGGAGTGAGGCAGATAAGTGTCTGCACTAGAAGACAGTGAAATAAATCATGGACATAATGTAATTAAGAAAATGACATACTTTTTCAACATTTCCAAGAAATATTTCGAAAGCACTGAGAGCACACTGTCCAGGTTATTAAATTAATAATAAACTTTTAAGAGCACTAATAATGGAGACATGCTTCAAATACATGCTTCTGTCAGAGACAAAAATATGGTAAGACTGCTAATCTTTCACGATGTTTCCAAAGGAGATCTTCAAGGTCTCCAAAATTTTGAATTCACATAAATCAATTTAACTGACATCTTGGCAAATCACAAACTGAAAGAAAATGTTATATTCAATTGTGACACTGGGAAAACCCAGAAAAATGAATATCTCCCAGCAAAAGCTGCCTTCAAGTACCTGCTTATTCCTTTCACACAAGTAGCAAGTGAACAGCTCCATTCTACTGTAGGAAATGTAGTGATCTTAGGAGAAAAAACTGATGATACTTCCCACCCACGTTGAGAAGCTTGTGCCTTTTAAATAAGATGAAAATGCAAAAAGTTACAAAAACATGTTCTGTGTGATTAGTCATGCAACACTTATCTAATGGTACTTAATATGTCAATCCTGACACTAATAATTTCTCAACAAGACACTTCCGACATTTTCTCACAAGGATAGTCCATTCATGACACTGAAGTTCTGTGTCAAGTACAAAAACAAAAGTATTGTTGTCCAAAATGTAGTACATCATTTTCTCCATACAGCTTTATGTTTAAAGCCAGCTGACATCATGTGAAATTTATAGTGGATGAAGTGACACTAGAGCAGGTTTTTCTCTGAGTTTCTTAACTTTTCCTGCTAATTATCATTCTACCATTGCTCTACACTCATATATCACTGTCACCTGAGGTGACTGACAGACTTCACCAGGCAGCAGATTATTGAAACCTTGGGCTTCTTCACCTCCAGCCCAGCACTTGGCTGATTACAGAGTAAGTAATTTCTGTTTATATTAATGAGCACTAAGCTTGGAGTACAGTTTGGAGTTCAAAATCATATTTATAATGAAATTAAAATTTAAATGTATATGTTAAGACATCCCTACTTATTTGTGCAACTCTAAATAATGGAATAAAATAAACCATGGGAAGACAGGATACTAAATACCACTTATTAGAAAGGAAGGAAGGAAGGAAAGAAAAAATGAAAGCAAGAAAGAAAGAAAGAAACATACAAACAAACCAACAAACGAACCAACCTTCAAGGGCAGAATATTGGGCAGACTTCTTGGTAGTGAAAGTAGTGCCATCATTTATAAGAAACTACACCACAGATGGCAGTAAAGGACAAAAAAAAAATCATTTCCACTTCACCTTCAGTGCAAACTTCAAACAGTAGAAGACTGCGCTGATTTCTTGCCAGTTGTGGTAGTCTTTACCATCAAAGGCTGCAGTAAAGATGCAATAACAATGGGTACATATTTAAAAGAATTTGTACATTTGTGTACCATTCTAAGAAAAGTTCATGCGCATCTATCATTTCTTGTCATTAGCGAATGAAACACTATCACAAAAATCCAGAGTGAATTCCAGGACTTCTTGCTGCCTATGCAATAGCTAAGTGTCCTCCAGTAGCATGCTACAATTTTCAACAGTGTCCTAAAATGTAACCTGAAGTTCACAAGTCCTAATGATTGAAGAAGGGCACACCTGGGTATAGATAAGTGTAAACACTGTAAAAGTGGAACAATAAGTTGTACCATGCTCATCTGTTATATATATATATATATGTGTGTGTTTGTAATCTAAATCTCATTTCACACGATCATCATTTGATTTGTGAGAAATATATGATCAATTTTACATCACAGAGAGGGTGAACACCCATGATGTCATAATATGGGGCACTGCAGACCCCCATGTCACCTAGGATCTTGAATGGGAAAGCCAGATGTAAGGTGTGGGGTAACACAATTAAGGTATATGGAGTCTTTTTTACATCAAAACCACAATGGGCACCACACCTGGACAAACAGTTTCTCATGCCACTACTGAAATAGAGAAACATGTACATGGCCATTTTCCAGCACAACAGAACTCCACCATCACCACAATGTTTGAAAACTGATATCATGATGATCCAAATGCTTGGCTTCCAGATTCACTAGACATGACTCCCACCATTGCTTTGCACAGGGTATGTGTACACCTCATATGCTGAATGAACATGCACAGTGACAGCAAACACTTCCACAACTTTCCAGTGACCAAATATTGAGGAGAATATGACCTCACAATAGTGCTCAAAATGAGGCACACCGAGCCCAGATGAGCCTACACACACTCTCATGTCAGAGCATGAGAAATACTGAGTCATATACAAGGTAGCAGTTGCTATTCCAAATGTTTTCCATTCTATCAATATCCATATGGATCATCCTACACACTCATATTAATCATTGTCCTGCTTTAACAGTGTTTCTCACCCTTAACTTCCCACTCTGATATAAATTGTCTGATATAAAAGGTTATGATTATTTATTTTAAACTAATCTGTAAAAGCTTGTTTGCTTTCTGCATTCAATTAGGAAAAAAAAAAAATCAGACATAGTTTGTGTGACAGAAGGAGTTTTTGCCCCCTCCTAAGTATGGTACTGCAATAACACCCTTCCTTATAATCATCAGTGATAATAATTATGACAACTGTAGGCAATGATTGCAAAATATGCAACTATACAACAGCCATTGTTAAGTAACAGCTCCGCAAACAAGCATGTTTCCATGGCAAACAAGAGAATACAGTAATAACAGAAGTAACGTTTCCTATGCAGTCCGTGAACAGATGTTACAAGCAGTAGTAGTCAGAGAACTGCTGAGGTTCAGTCGTTGTGATCTGTTGCTGTTAAGAGGCTGGTAGCTACTGCTGGGGACCATTCAGGAACCCAGAACATCATCTCTGGTCAGCATCCATTTCAATTGACCTCAGTGGTGTGATGAAGTTCTGGGAGGGAACTTTAAACTCCAACTACAAATGGGGTCCACTGATTCCCATGATGGATATTGTAGGCTTCTTATCTCTTTTGTCGGCGTTGTCTGTCCATTTCCACTTTCATCTTTTTTGCTCGTGGAATTACTCGATGGATGGAGATGCAGAACTGTGGTCTTGGCTGTTTCCCCTTTGGCAGCACTCTCTTTGAGGACTGCCGTCAAGTTGTATAGCATCTCTGTGTATGCTCTATACAGAGTGCTATACAGCTATACACCTGAACACATTCAATATATTAAACTGCCTTTTTTTTAACCGAATGCCATTTACTATCATTAACCAATTATAACGCTGATAAATTTTTAATTATGACACGAAAAGGCATAACTAGGACTTTCGACAACTTTATCCCTGTACATATTTTGTAGTTTTGTCATCTCACAATCAAAATCATAATAATTATTTCTAGTTCTGGCAAAACATTCCACTTATTTTTAAAATACGTCCTTCTTTGTAAATTCTGCCATTCTATTTCCTCCTTTGTAAACTCTCTCATTCTATTCCTTTCTTTGCAAACTATGCCATCCTAATCCCTTCCACACTTCAGACTTGTATTCGGGGGGTGCTTCATTTAAATTATCACCTAGGACCTCACTTATCTTGACTGACAATTTCCATGGTCTTCCTCCATTCAGCCACTCAAATGCTGCAATAGCATCTCAATTATGCGACAGTTTCTTCCTTCCAAATCCATTCCAATTCATTATTCATTAATCAGCCTACTACCCAATTATGCAGTGTGCTACTGATGGTGCCATAAAACAAATCACACAGCAAAAAATCCTTCCAGCCATGTATCCTTTACCAACTCTGTTGGAAATATGTATAGCTTACTGCACACCTTCTACTGATTTTCTTTTCTGCTTCACTGTGTATCCGGTCTTATTTTTCACATATAACAAACACATGCATTGTATTTATAAAAAATAACGTGTAATCACACTCTACTCATTAAATATAGGATACATGGTGTAAATGGCAGGAGCCCAAGAATCACATATTTTGTACAAGAAAGGTATGGCTGAGATGCACATTTATACATGGACCTATATAGTACGTACTATAATGCATCATACAATTTACTTATATATAGCGATTTTGATTCTTCACAAAAGGAATACCCTGTTAGAAGTGTAAATTAATAGCCAAAACTGTAAAAAACTAACTGCCCATAATATTTTAATTTATACCTAGCTGCAATTTTACCATAAAATTTTAACACAATAATTTATAAAATTAATTACATCAACAATTATCAGAACAATTTACTTACTGGGAAGTACATGTAAATTAAATAAAATTTAGGAACCATGTAAGTGCTAAAGATGTAACATGAAGATTTAAGTTATCAGTTCTCAATGTAAACAAGTACTGCACACTTTCTGCAGTTTAGCTGCATAAAATATTGATATATCAATGAAGCAGATGTTCAACAAACAACATTATGCAAAGATTTATGAACTATACACACTATATACATTTATATATAAAATTCCACTAAAACAGTCAAAATGAGGAAAAATGTATGTGTAATGAAACTGAATCAAACCATACACACAATACAAAATTAGCCATTACACAAAACAGAAATACTCAAAATACAGTCAATCAACCAACAGCATAAAACTTTTTATGTTACAAAAAACAGTTGTTTGCTTAATGACAGGATATAGAAGTAGGTCCTCATGTAGGAATCTTCTTAGATAGTTAGAGATCTTACCATTGAAATCTCAATATATATATTCAATCCTGCTTTTTGTTTTAAAGAATAGGAATTTTTTTATTACTAACTACAATAGGCAGAATGTACAGACAAGACAATGTGAAAATTTATATTTTCCTACTTCCTCTCTAATATTATATCAAAATGGCGTTTACTACACTGGTATTAAAATTTTTAATAAATTACCACTTGAATTAAAAGAGCTTGTACAGACGCCTAAAATTTTTAAGAGTTCCTTAAGAAGATATCTTGTTTTGCATTGTTTTTATAAACTGGAGGAATTTTGTTGTATAAATGGTTAATACATTTTTCATTTGCTTCATTTTTTTGTAATCATATCCATTTATGTTCTATGTCTGTGTTACGTATACTTCATATTATGTTACCTAGACTTGTTCCAATGATTAATTGGAACATTTGTTCTGATATGTGACACATTCTATATCCAATGGTTTGTGAAGCTACTTCTCAACCTGTACCTGGATCTGCTTAAATTTGAAATAAAAGAACAAGAACAGCATTTAACCTGCATTCTCATTTCAGGTGAATCAAGCCCCACATACATCTCATTCAACAGTGCAGTGCCTGCTCACATCATACATTGGGCCACACTTGAATGACACATCTGCACTAGGATCAATCTTAAAATCTTAATTGGAAAATGGCTAGGTTCACGTTAGTTTTACAGTATCATCTACCTATTGCACTCTTCTATCACAAGTTGAGCACTAATTGGTATTTAACCCTCAAATTACTCCTTCTAAACAACTAGCATGCTGGTTTACATAAGAAACCACCTTCAGTGGGTTGACTACAGAACTCAACATTCACCTAAAATTAAATATCTTCATGAGTGTCCAACATAAATTTGTGTCATATTACCTATGAAACAAAGCTTACTTTAAAAAATTAATGTATGTTCCTAAGAGGTAAGAAAAGTTCACAGACTGCTCAACATACTTGAGAATTAGTGCAGGAAGAAATCAAATATAGGTTGAAATAACCATGTAAAGTAATTCCTCTGGTTGAAACACAAAGAGAACACATACAATACATGTTTAAATATCTACCACCATGAAGCACGGTGCCACATTTAACTCACTGATAACCAACGTGAACTCAAAATACATTTGAGGAAAAGGGTCAAGTGTGTTACCCTATGTTTTGAAATACTGGCATGTTACAAGAGAGTAAACTAGTCATTGTCAAATATTTCAGTTCTCAGGATGCTTATCACTGCAGAAATGTATAAAAAGATATATTTAGGATGAAGTGATCTTATCAAGATACAAGACACAATGACTTGAGTAGCTGCTTCCTAGGCTTAGTGTCAATGGAAATTCTACAGCCACCTGATGAGAAACAGACAGACAAATATTCGCATCTCCAGTTCCAGAAGATGCTGACTGGTTTCCTGAAGCACAAAGTTTCGGAAAACAGACACGACTGTTACCTCCAGTCAATGATTCACTGTGGGCACCAGACCTCATCAAACATAAAGCAGAACCACACTCCAAACCTCCACCACTATGTTTATTGATAGCATTGCCACTTGTGATATTATCTTGCACAGATAATCTGCTGCTACAGTTAATGTCAAAATCATTTTCATAATTGACATCATTTGTACCATAGTGACTATGTTTAATAACAGTGCTGCCAACTCTGCAACCAGTAGGATGTTTCAATACTGGGTTTGTAGACCTGTGGTGGTGGTAATGGTGGAAGTGATGACGATGAAGACTTCGAGAGATGTGGTGGTGGTGATTTGTTCTAATCAGAGGGCGACGATAATTAATCTCAATCAGCATCAACTGATCAAATCGTCATAAGTCAGGAAACCTATGCAAATGAAAACATTACAAATTAGTAATGGAACCTCCAAAAGAACAACATAAATGAGGACCCATAAGAGAATTAATCCAGATTATTAAGTTGGTATTAGCTTGAACATATAGAGTGAAACATGTCTGCAAACCCTGTGCTGTTCCTGTAAATTTATTTTACATACATTCCAGAAGACACTTTCAAAACCTGTGGTAAACTGCACCTGACAACACATTTCTTCATACCTAACACAAAATGACAAATTTTTGTATCACACCAAAATAAAGTAATTACTGAAAATCTTTACAGAAACACCTTAGTCATTCCTGTAGAAGTTATAATAACACAGAAACTGCTTACCAGAATGTTTGGACACACAGAACTATCATTAAATGCATCCACTATCCTTTGAAGCTTATACTGAACATCACTTATTTATATACCATTTCCTCATTATGATGCTTATGAAAATGGTGCCATGTTAATAAAATGCAATGTAACATAAGCTCCTACTACTTTTCCGAGACAATCCTAAAACAAGTTTGGAACAACTTGGAAAGAAAGAAACCTCATAAAAACAAACAAAAATGAATGGGACACATAATGATATGATATATAATTTCCAGCTGAATCATTCAAAATACATGCATCTTGAATAAAATGATACAGTATGACTGCTGTGGGAAGATGCTTGACAACACAAAGCACAGCACATCTCAGCTGTCTCCCTACAAAATATCTAGCTAAAACTTGAGTATTTCTCACAACATCTTGGTCATCAAGCAATTCTCAGATGAATCAATATCATATATTTATACAGGGTGTTCAACAGAGATGGAAACGTACTGCTTGTGATAGTTCACGGCATGAAAGTAGTGGCAACAGTGCAGGATTTCTCCCTACATGCGATGGCACTGGCTTTCAATCAATTTCTATATTTACATAACACTCTGTAACTAAGTACACTAAAAGGCAACAAAACCTCACCACATTTTATAAGACATGGTGGAAGTGAGCCCTTTCTGCCTTCAGGGATTCCTCACACTGTGCAAATAAGCTCTGTGACATTTTCTGAAATGCATTCTCAGAAACTGTAGCAATAAACACATGATATTTTGATCTGGGGAGCTTTGTTGGGACAAGGATTATCTGTCAATTGGGCCCAACTGGGTAGGTTTTACTTGAAGATGGAGACAGAATCCACCAGTCTCCAAAATATTGTTTTAAATAAAAACAGGACAATAGATAATGTCCAGGAACACATTATTTGTCACGTTTACCTCGCTGAAGTACAGTGTCTTTCTGTTGTAAGCTGGTTGAAGAAGGTATTCAATATATTGTTCATGTACTGACCTAAATTCAGTTGGGGGCAACTTTCAAACCTACATTTCTGAAACATCTAAGCATCCACGATAACCTAGGATAACAGTGAGAAGTGAAAGAAGTAACAACCAGACTTTAACCATACAATAGTATATGTGATCTACGCGACAACAAACAAGATATAACATAATCCCCCCCCCCTTCAACATACCAGTTGAAATAGAACATACAATTAATTTTTATGCCATTTATATTTTTAATATTTCTATTTTCACATTTTCATTTTATCCTAATTTTTTTAATCATATCATAACATGAATTGTATACTAAACTGTCGATATATACCTCATATATAAATATATATTTACTAGCAATGCAACCATCAGTTGCAAGAATACGAATCCCTATTATAACCAATTTTAATCCCTTGAGTTATGTTCATGAGCGCCTGATGATGACCTAATTATACGGTCAAAACATGTAGCACAGTTACGTTTATACTAAACACGTATTGTCTTGATTGAATATATTCCCATATTACTTGTGTTGACGGTCATAATACAAGCAATTAAACAAGAGCAATGAAGTCAGACCTTATGACCTGAGAAAGCAGGACCTTCAATCATTACCACACTGATCACAATATGTTTGTTTGCACAAATGACTCATCATATCAGCAAGTTACATAGTGATTACAGATGAAATACCTGCTACATTCACTGTGTTGGTATGTTTCCTTCTCATTTGAACTCTCTGTATTTTAATTTTTTAACTTGTAAGTTATATAAGTTTCTAAGATTTTTTAAAACATGAACTCATGAGTCAGGTTTTAACAAATAATTATTTTAATCTTTCACAAAAGACAAAATTCAATATGCATAAATAAATTAACAAGTATATCAGTGATACACCTTAAAAAGCACATTCAGTAGCATGCTGCCAGAATGTGAATGGAACATATGATGTGAAGATTGTACAAAGTGCATTACAGCAAAATTACTACTTACACAGTGTGAAGTGGGTTCAGGTGAATGATATGCCTTTAAATGAACAGAGTAATAGGAGTACTCTTGTCTTTATAAAAAAAGGTGAAGCACCACAGTGAATATAAAAAGAAACCCCAGTTCTACCCCAGTACAAAAATTCTAATGTCATATGTGAAAGCATGAACAGTAATAAACTTGCTAGTACAATTATATATGTATATATACTGTATCACTTCAAATACAAAATGCCCCCGAATTTAAGACACATTCAGCTTTTGGGGTGTAGGTTTTAGGAAAAAAAATTAGAAAGGTGCACATTACTCAAATTTAACACATGTTTCAATTTTTCAACATGAAAAAATATGTAAAATGTGCTTCTTATATTTGAAGTAATATGATACATATTCATACTACAAAGAATTTAAAGTTAGTGTGCATAATAAAACATGTTACTTTTAATGAAGTACATACAACAGAACCTTTACAGGCTCACAGAAATTCTATCAGAGTGCTGTGCCTTGAAAAGGAAACTAAATCAATTTAAAATAATACTTCATATGTTATCATTCAGAAGCTACAGGCATGTGAGACAGCAGAAATAAAAAAAAAGTGTATAGGTCTTTCTTTTGTAGCGAAAATTTGTCAACGCCATCACATGGAGCACCAAGGAGAAGGGAGAAAAATATTAAAACGAAACTTTGATAAACAAGGTTTTGAATTTATGAAAGGAACCCAATCAGAATTTGGTACAAAGTTTAATTTTCATGTTGGCAGAGATAGATCTTCCGGCTTTATTACCGGAAAGAGCGTGAAAGAATTCAAGGATAACTTCTGAGAGAGAACAAAACTGATGAGCTGAACCACTACCACTCCACATTCATTAAACTACACACAATTCTTTCATGTTCTACTGATTTAAAACAACACTAGCTAACTTTATCATTCCATTTCATGGTCAATTAAAATATTCATCCCTCTTATATCACAGGCTGCTAAATTCCAGTTTCAACACATCAATTACTTGCTTAATCATCTACAATTAGTCCTAGTGACTATAAAAAAAGTCAATTCAGTTTTATGATAATGCTGTAGAGGTAATACTATATGACCATCTTTCTGTTAAAGGACAAATAAACTGGACATGCACATGGCAACTACAAGCATGCATATACATATAATATACACTTCACAGGACAATTCCAATCTCATGCAAAACCCCTCTCCAAAGGCAAGCAAACCTACATGTAAGCAACCAACCTTGTGGTTATATATTCATGCAATTTCAGTCTGCCATGTTCACACACAGATAGAATTCAGAACATTAAAAATATCACCAACCCCAATCACATATTTCTGTTGTACCTGATTTACAGACTATGTCAGCAAAACTGAATATAAAGATTCCAGATGAAAAACCCGAACACATTTAATATAACAATATAAACCTTCAATACAATATCCAGGATATCAATTCAACCAAGTCAATCAGACACCCTCAAAATACTGGTCATTGGGCTGCAATGTACTAACTCCAGTATGTGCTCTTCCACAGCAGTGGGCCATTGTGCTACATGTTCTTGATTATATGGAATAATTATTCTTCCTGTTTCTCATAATTTCTTGTATCATTAAAGGCTTTCCTGTTCAGGATTTGGTACTTTAGAACACATTTACGGCATTCAATAACGACCACCCCACTGTTACGGTCACAGAATCCATAAATGTAATGGATATCTGCTCATTCAGTGGGACTGATCAATTGATACATTTTTCAAAACATGCTTGCTGGTACCACAACAAATGTGATGGCTATCAGCATATTCAGTGAGAGTGGACCAATGATTCATTTCGTTAAAACAGGCAAGAAGATGATAAGATTCTGACCGTCATAATGCAACACCATGTTTGACTCAGTACAGATCAGAAGAAAGGTGGCAAGAAATAACAGAGAATCAGCAGTGGTTATAATCCAATTGCAATTATTACCAGTGTTACCATCTACTGAATTTCAAAGAAGTTAACTGAAACTGTCACCAGGGTTTCCATGTACTGAATCACAAGTGTAGGCATCTGTCATTTTCAGCTTTTATAACACTAGTAACTCCACAATTGTTGGAAATGGGACCAATGTTGTATTAATGTTTATTACTTAACATTACTTCCCAAACTAGGGCAGACCAGCTGTGAAACATCCTGCAAACTGAAGCAACAGAACTAACACAGCAGCTGTGCACAGAACATGAACCTCTGCTACATTAAACAGGGATAAGTCATAATGATCCATCTTGTGCATAGACAATTGCTAGATAAGAGAGGACACAATGAATACCACTGTACAATGCATACTGCAGTAACCAACTTCAAAATGTTTTCTGAACTGTATGAAGAACAAATGTAAAATCTCGGTATCGTGATATTTTAGGAAATAAATTCTTGAGTTTCTTATGACAGGTTTTCTTCTATAGATTATATTCCACACAGAGTTGTATTGTATGTTCCCTGGATCAAGGATTTCTTTGTTATATTGAGGTCTTCATTATATAAACTCTTTTCAATGTCTTTGTCTGCAGGGCAAGCACATTTATGTATGCATTACATAAAGTAAGCATAAGCTTTACATAAAGTTTCTGTATTGGATTTTGGGATGTTTTTTGTTGTCACTCAGCAAAGCAAACTCTCCATTACCAGCATGTATAGGGAATGGGC